CATGTACACACACTCACATGCATACAAGGTGCATGATTACCCTCCAGCATGTACACACACATGCACAAGTAAAATGAAATGAGGTGCATATCTTATGCCTCTTTAAATTGTTTCACTAAAGTAGACTGCACGCCCTCCTTCTGCTCACATTTGCAGAGGCAGGTTCTAGACTTGGACACTATCTCCTACACTTTTCTCCCTTTACCATAGGGTGGCACTCACGGGCACTCAACGTTTTTTCTTAAAGACTCCAAGTACCGAAGAAAAAAGCAGCAACAAGTGAAGAGAGCAGGCCTGCTGGGGTCTCTTTCCTGCTTACTATAATTAGTAACTCCATATTAATTAACTATGCTATCTATGTCATCCTATTAATCTAAGAACCCGTCAAAGCTCAAACATTTTGGATGCATTGGCACATTTGAGAGCTGTAGCCCTCACCCCAGGGAGGTTTCATCCTGCAAGGTTTTATAGTAAGGTGATCAAACTGAGCCTGGATCCCAGTGGTTCATGAGAGAAAAAACAAAATGGGACCAGGACTAGAGACACAGCTAAGCATACCCAAAGCCACTGGCCCTCAGGACATGGGCTTTGTATCAACTGAGCCCAGGCATATATTCTTTTTTTTTTTTTTTTGGTGTTTCAAGAGGGTTTCTCTGTGTAGTTTTGGTGCCTGTCCGGGATCTCGCTCTGTAGACCAGACTAGCCTTGAACTCACAGAGATCCGCCTGGCTCTGCCTCCCGAGTGTTGGGATTAAAGGCATGTGCCACCACCGCCCGGCTGCATACATACCTCTTCCAGGTTGTTGACGCCCTGTCGTCTCCTCTTATTCATGTCGTTCTCTTCAGTCTGGGTGTCTACCTGCAATGGTCAAGGAAACAGGGTGAGCTCAGGGCCACGGACACTGTTGGAACTGGAAGCACAGGATGCATGCTTGTCTACGGCTGTCAGCCGAATGGTAGACATGGGAATAGATGGCCCTGCACGAAAGTGCTGCCATGGAGTTACAGCCAGGCATAGTGGGGCGTGCTTCTACTCTGTCTCAGAAATCCTGTCACACAAGCAGGGCACGCATCATTTCTATTACAGTGGCTGTGTGCTTGGAGGGGGTTAATCATGTGCCTGAGGTCAGAGCCAGGTCCGGGGGTGCCCTCTGTGTTTGCTGCCTTATGGGAGGGAACTCCCTGACTGTCTTTGTTCCCTGGACCTCCCATGAAGAGGTGGGACAGGTTCACCCTGCAGAGAGCATTCTCAGGACTTGAGTGAGCTGTCCTGGGCTTTGGTGTCAAATTAAGCCTGCAATCCAGGTACCATTATAAGATTTAACTCATTTCAAATAAACATTAGCTCCAACCTGAGGACTAGAGATTGAATGTCCAGCTTGCCAGGGATGGTTCAGATTTACCGACTCCCTCATTCACTATAACTTTTAATAGACACATTCCCTTTCATAGTATATTACCTAGCTATCCTGATAACCCCTCACAGTGCAGCCCCCACTGACCGAATCCGAACAATCTACCAAGGCCTATCAGGCTGGCCTAGGCAGATGAGGAGGGGTGTAAAGACTGAGCTGTCACCATGGCCTGGGGTGGGAGAGGAGGCGGAGTGCTATATCTTCTCCACATGCATCTTTGAGCTCAGAATAGCTCTATTTCCTAAGGACAGACATCTTAACTACCAACTTCCAGTGTTTTGGACCTCCTCCCAACAGTTCTCTCCTGTTGGAGTCTGGAGTCACATCCCACAGAGCACGTATCCCATCTGCATGGACTCTCCTATACTCTGACTTCCTCCATGGCAGGTCCACATCATATCCCAGCCTTTCAGACATCATAAATGCTGGAAGAAGTGCCACAGGCTTACTGCACACCCAGGCCTAACACCCATCCAGGCCCAAGCATAGTGCTGCCTAGCCCTAGAAGGGTCCTTTCATGCCTGGATACTCTGAAACAACTGTCTTGGAACCCCAGCACAGAGTCTACTGTGCATCACTTAAGTCCAATAAACACCCTCACACACACACACACACACACACACACACACACACACACACACACACAAATACCACATACACACAACACACACACTGCACACACCACACACACACATAGATGCCAGGTTCACCAATCCCATTAAAAGAAAGACCAACAACAGTTTAGTCCTGGATATTTGTTCGAAAATTTGACCAAGACACCATAAAAGAGCAGATCAAAGGGCCCTGCCTCCCTTCAACATCTCCTTCAGCTTCTCATAAATCACTGTTTTCTGAATGGAAATAATCCCAGTCTAAATGCTGGACAGACACCAAGAGAAACAGATGACCTTATTTCCAACAATGTTGGGTTTTAGAGGCACCAACTGTTTGGGCTCCCAGTTCCACTGACTGTGAATGCCACTTAGGCCCAGAGACCAGAGCTGTGAAAGTACAGAATGTCCCATCAACAAGAAAGCTTCGTGCATAATCTGAGGGCTCTCTTTGTGTTTTTGTTTCTACTTTCAATGAGGACTTGGCTTTTCTCACAAAGAGCAATACATCCTACTCTTCCCCTTAAACTTGACAGCCTAGGGTGGGACTGTTCAAACAATTGGAGCCTGGCTAGACCCCATTCAGAAATGTAACTTAAGGGCTCACAAAATGCACTCCAGGGTGGTGGGCCCAGTCAGCAGCTCCTAAGAAGATCCTTAATCCTGGGAGAATAAACGCAGTACCAGGGGGCAACCTTTGCATCTTAGATGCCTCCACGGTGACCCTGGGAAATAAAATGCGTCTACATGGAAAGGTTAACCACATACACACATCCAAACCATGTTTACTTTCCCCAATGAAAAGTACTATTGGGATTCAGGTCAAAACAAAAGTCTAAGAAAATGAAAATGTAGAGATTTAATTATTTATTTTTCTCATTGGAAGCCAAATATTGACCCAAGACCTTAGCCCAGAGCCATTTCCTTGAGTAGCAACTGGTAAATTGTTATGCGTGGCTAAATGACCTCCACCTATGCTCATGCTAGTGAGCCTAGTTAAACTCAGTGGGACATGGGCACAGACACTCACACATGGAAGTCTGAGGGCACTGGTGGGGAGAAGAGGGGCTTCTATGGGAACAAGGGTGATAAAAATATATTACATACATGTATGAGATTGTTAAAACATAAACGAAAATACACTTCACAAGAAGGCTCTAATCACTCTGGACTTTATTATACTTGACAAAGAACCAGAAGCATAAGGATAAACCAAATATTTCTCATGGCCAGGCTGAGGGAACATAGAATAAACAAATGGCTTACGTTCTCTTCCTATGAATGTTTCCAGCTCTTTCACCCTAGGAACATTTTCTTATCATGATTTTCCAAGGATTTGAAAGAGTTGATATGCCAAAAGCCATTTATTAAACTAAATGGTTTCCCTCTTTACAAAACAACCAATGCCACCCATCGTTAGTCTGATAATTAATCTGACTAGCTGAAGACAGCCATGTCCCCACACATCCTGAGCTGTTTTGGCTCAATGCAAACAACATTTATATTTAGTTATCTGGTCTAGCCTAACCCTGGAGGAATTTAGATCTGGTTGGGTTGGTTATCAGCTTTGATATTTGAAAAGATGGCCAGTGACACTGGCAGACAAGCTCTTTCTTCAAGGAATCACAGGTTCAGGTGCTAGGCTGTGGCTAGTGACGTTCAGAAAATCACCTAGCTACTTTGACTTCATTGTCCTCACTTATAGGAAAGAGTCTAACACCATCTACTCATGAGCTTGGAATCACAGAATGTTAAACACTTCTTAAACTGCACATTGCTGTACAAGTGTTAATGCTATAGTAACAGAATTTTAAACATATGAATTCTAGTTCTTATTTTGATAATACCTGTATAACTTATTAAAATTTAACATCTCCAAGTCGAAGTTTCCCTACCCACTACATTGCAAGGACACTTTGTTCCCATCCTTCCTCCCAAGGATGTATGTATAGGTGGGTGGATGGATGGGTGGGTGGTTAGGTAGGTAGGTGATGGATAGATTTGTGGTGGGTGGATAGATAGGTGGGTAGGTGGGTGAATGGACTGATGGATAGATAAATGGATGGATGGATGGAAGGATAGATAGGTAGATGTGTGGGTGGGTGAATGGGCTGATGGGTAGATATATGGATGGATGGATGATGGATGGATGGGTGAATGGACTGCTGTATAGATAGAAGGGTAAATGGATAGGTGGCAATCAGGCTAGATAAATAGAAGAGGTACTTTTAAAAAACACCTTTGTCTCTCTGAAAAAGTATCTGTGCAGAAAGCTCAAGGTTCAGTGGGCTCTAGACCACACACAGAAGAGTCATGCTGTGCAACTCCATCTCTTGCAGGAACCAGTGCTGGTAGTGCAGAAGCTGGCCAGCTGACCTTTGGCATGGGCATTCTACAGCAGGAAATGGATTTATGTGTTATCTCACAAGAAATGAGCTTAAGAGGAGACAAATCCAAGGTACCTTCATGTGCAAATCATTTAACAAGGACAATGATGGATGGCAGTACCCACAATAACTGACATTGTCCAGGAGTGGGAGGTCTAGGAGAGTCCAAAGGAGCACAGATAAGAGTATGTGCAGATCTGTGTGAATACAGAAAGGCAAGAGGCTGAAAAATGTAGCCATAGATGCCACCTCCTTGCATGGTGAAAATAATTTAGGAACTCCCAAGAACGTTCATCCTATACTAAGGAATGTTTAGGTGCTGACCGGGATCACAGGCAGACTGCAGACGCACAACAAAGACTCTAAAGAGAGAAACACAATCCCTAGCCTTCCTTTCTCATGCATGGGCCACCCACCCAGTCTTCATTACTTAGCAATCCTGAGTGAAGTACTCTCCCTCAAAGCACGGCCCTAGTGGAGAAAATGCCTTCATTTTGCTTGAAGTTGGTATGTCTTGCTGAGATCTGAATGTTGTCAGTAAGGTAAGAGGAGAGGAGACAGAAGAATTGAATCTTTAGGATTCAAACCTGGAGGGAGAGATTGTTAGGACTGCCTCAGCAGGGGCAGTGATGCCTCTGGATGATGAGATGGAGCACTGTGGAGGGATGGACAGGTGGGCATGGTAGGCTATTTCTCTGGAAGCTGGAGAAACACCAGGGAGGGATAGTGAGGAGGATGAATACTGACGCCTGTATCAAGGTTGCAGGCATTGTTGGCCAGGTGGGCTATGGGACAGAATGGTCCAGGCATGATCGAACCTAAATTTGTATTCCCTAAGTGTGCACAAGCTCACTGCTGGCAGGGCATGTGCCTGATTGTACCAATACCTGTGTGGCATGACAGAGGCAGAGCCATCACAGATAGATAAGGATGCGTGTGTGGTTCTCAGCATCTGGTGTGGGACCCCACTCGGTCTTCTCACTGCCTCCCAACTAACATCACTTCAGCATGCTCGGTTACTGGATACACAACAAACGCCTTTTTGATGAACAAAGGCAGTGCAGGGGGCAAAGCAATCAAGTATAACTCAGTAGTGTGCGACCTTGGCAAGCCACGTAGCCTCCCTGGGCCCTGGCTTATATCTGTAACCGTGTAAGGACATTCCATCTCCCATTGAGATGCAAGATGGTTGAAATCAAGGCTATCCAGTTTTCAGCTTCTCTGGGCCACACTGGATGAAGTGAATTGTCTTATACCACACATTAAATTCAGAGGTTGTGAGAACATATGCTTACTGATTTTGTGCAATTGTGAGACAATGCTGTCATTTACAAAGTTCACACTCGAGAAATGCATAATTGAGTTACAAAAAATTGCCATAAAAAGTCTCATCCAGGATAGGGTATACTTTGAATCCCAGTGGAGGGGGGACAGAGGCAGGCAGATCTCTGTTAGGTGTGAGGCCAGCCTGGTCTACATAGTGGGACCTGATCTAAAAAACAATGTCTTTATCATGTTTGAATCAAGCTCACAATTTTGTGTTAGGCTATATTCATAGCTATTCTGGGGGTATACTTCTACCTTAAGGCTATAAGTTGGACATCATGAATAAAATGGTAATTATGGTAATTATTCTTCAGTCCTGTGGTTCCCAAACTGTGTAGCTAAGCATCCCACAACACCAGAGTGAACCCAGAGGAATGGCAGGACACTCAGTGTCATCTGTCAGACATCTTGAAAAATACTGATTATTTGGACTTAACTGCTTAGGGAACAGAACAATAGGCATTTTTTTTTCCTGACCTGGGAGTACTGTGAAAAAGTCACGAACACTAAAGGTTCTATAAATCTTGAAAGTTCTAGAAGCTCACTATGCCCTGGACTTGTGCTAGTTAGTGTTTGTCAATGTGGTACAAACTAGAGTCACCAGGAAGAGGAAACTTCAACTGAGGAAATGCCTCCATGAGATTGGCCTAATGTAGACAAGTCTGGGGCATTTTTCTTGACTGATATTGATGTAGGAGGGCCCAGACATGAAATTCTCCTTCCTCTTCCCCCATCATCTGCAGCGAGGAAGAAACAAAAGGCCAGCCTAAAACTTACCCGTGGGGTCCTCTTCCTGGGAAATGTGAGGTTGAGATAGTTATTAGGAATGAATGATTTGCCCAAGCCGAAGTCAGCATATTCTCCATAGTTTTTACGCCAAGAATCTGTTGAGAAGTAAAAGCAACATTGAAATTGGGATCCAGGGCCCAGGTGGTGATGTTGTAACCTATGGGTGTCCTTGTATCAGGGCTCTTCTAGAATAATTCCCTCACCCCAACCTTTATAAACCTTAAATGGCTGAGGGTGTGGGGAGGCCACTGCATCTCTTCAAGGGTAGTCACCCTTGTTTGGCCTCTGAGTCAAAGATGTCTTGAAGATGCAGGGTAGACATACCAGCCAGATCAGACTGGAGGACAGGGATGGCACTAGAGACTAGACATGCTTACCCATGGGTCTCAGCGGGGTGCCCCGGAAGAGCTCATAGAACTTGGAGAGGTACATGACCATGCTGAGTTTGTCGGGCTCCTGAGTAGACGCCATCTCTTTTCCTGTAGTCACAGGCAGGATCCCAAACTCACGCTTGGCCACATCAAATGCCAGCTGATTGTTCTCCACTGTGTCGTCTTCATTCAGTGAGTCAAAGTTGCTGGAGGACGAACACCAGGGGAAGTTCAGGGTGAGCCAGGGTGCACTGAGCCCATAAGAAGCACTGTGGGCTGATGATGCTCCAGCCCCATTGAGCCCCAACCTCCAGCCCTGGAACACGCCTTGCTCATGAAGGGAATGAATCATGATTACACCACTGACCTAGCCTGAAACGTCAGAAAATGATTTACTCCCTTTGGAAAATGTAGGAGTTACTTTAATTACTTCTTTCCCTCATTTTTCATTTTAATTGCTATAGTAACAGGATCTTTTCTCAAACCAATCAAATTATATGTATCATGTGGAGATGAGATTCCCATCTCCTCATGGCTAGATGACGTTGGTAGGTTTCCATCAGCCTTTTAGGAAGGGTTTGTATGTAGATGGGGGTCTGTGCTGCTCCCCACGTCAATAGGTATTTTTCTTTTATCATCACGAAGGGTTTCTAGAATGTCATCTCACTTTCCAGTTGGCAATACCATTTTGCCAACATACAAAGAAGCTTTAGAAGATTCTAGAAATGATCTGATGAATCAGAGTGTCAAAAAATACTTCTTTGGCTGAGTAGGTCTCTCTTCTACTTCCTCTCCTGGGGGGTGGGGCTTTGAGACCTATGCTCAGTTTCCAAAATGTGGCTGTTAGGGTTGGGGGCCAAGTGTTGAGATGTAGCCACTGACCCTGTGCTGACCGTCAGGTACCAGGGACACAGGGCAAACATGTTGCTGTCCAAACAAGGGAAAAGCAAGTTTTAGAAAACCACCCAACCAGAACGTGCAGAGAGAAATACTAAGCCAGGTTGGGGGTCTCCACCCAGAAAAGGCCGGGGTCCTTTGTGTCCAGGGTCCACACTCACATCAGCTCTGGCCGGAAGCGGTGGATGATGGCACACAGAGCCAGACCACTGCGCCAGGATGTGGTCAGGTCGGTGACATGGACGTGCTGGTACCCCTCGGTCTGCTGCTGGCACCAGGTTAAGAGCTTGTTAGGCCGGATGTCTGACTCTGTAGGGAAGAGGTAGGCAGTGAGGCTCTGTAGGAATTTCAGAGAGTTCAGCCTGAGCATCACTCCCACTGCCAACAGGGCTGGGAGCCAGGAAGAGTGGATGGCACAGAAGTTGCACTGATGGTCACCGCACAGGGTCTGGGTCAGCAGGAAGCACGCTGTCCTTGTGGTCCACTGTGGCTAGGGTCCAGGCTTGGAGGCTGGGAACACAGACCCTGCATCTATTGGGTGACACTAATGACATGGGGCTGTCGTGGATAGAGGTGCTTATGACCAGGTTTGCTGCTGGCTGGCCCAGCGAGGAGAACTCTCTAGAGAAAGTGTCTGGGGATGTACATTTGAGCTGGCTACTGAAGAGTGTCTAGGAATTCATCAGACAGAGGCGTTCCAGGAAAAGAGGATGGGGTGAGAGCAGAGAATGTGGGGAGCCTGCCACGCTTGTGTGACGATAAAAGTTTACGACTGTCAACCGTGCTTCCCAGCAGCTGCGCATGGGCTGTGTGCAGGGAAGGGAGAGAGAGGCACACAGAGGTAGCTGGAGTGTCTCTGGGTAGCAGAGGAGAGGGGCCTGAGAGAAGGGGCTTGTTGGGGAGTTACTCATTGAACCATCCTTCCCCTGGCTCTGAGCCCACTCTGTGGCAGTGTTGTGTCAGGAATAGGAAGATAAGGAGACAGGGCGGGGTGGGGGTGGGGGAGCCCCAGGAATCTGTTGCTTAGCTGCTGGGGAGACAGGACACTCATCCCAGAAACAAGAGGCAAAGAAAGATCAGCCCCGTGGAACTCCCTACCGTGGACTTTCCTGTGCTAAGTGCTCAGCGAGTAGCTGCATGTCTTAATGCCCATAATCCTGTCTTACTTTGGCTCTTATAGGTGAGGAAATGGAAGGACAAGGAGAAGAGGCACTTGTCAAGGTCACACAGGTAAGGGGGCAGAGTCAGGCTGGCTGTGGGTCCGAGCAAGTCTCATCCCCTGCACAGCTTGTACCAGGGTTCCAGAAGGGCAACTCACCCCGCCTGGAGAGGCTAACGGATCTCCTCACTGAGCCCCATCTCTCTTGAGAGAAGCTGTCCAGCTCCTTAGTGATGTACAAATGCTTCACCTACGAGCAGAGAAGACCACACATCTGTCCACCAGTTCCCAGAGCCTGGGCTGGAGGCCTCTCTGTGCCCCACACAAGATTCCCTGCCCGCTACTGCTTTCTTCAGGTATTGGCTGGTCTGACTTTCGGCAGGGCGTCCAGACAACTGAGTCACAGACAACAACTGTCTTCCCAAATGTGGCAGAAGTGGCAGTGACTATCTAATTGGCTAATAGGAACCCATACTATTAACAGAAGATGATAGAGGTTGGGTGGATAAAATCCCAGGATAAATGATGTCCAGGTCTATGCATGGTAAAGAAGAAAGGGGATATCTAGGTAAATGGATTATTTTTGAGAGCGAGGTATGATTGATGTCACATTTGCACAGTGACAAATTAACACATGGAAATATGTAAATAAATACACACATATGCACAGTTCCATTTCTGCTCTAGTTTCCTGACAGACTATAAAGAGGCCTAATAGGCCTTTGCTGTACCTTTGCATCTTGTGGGGAAAAGAACTGCTCCACCCTTCTGCTAGCAAGCTTTGGTGGCCTCAGTTTCAGGACTGTGACAATTTATGAGACCATTACTTTTCCTCAGGTCACTGCAGGGGCTTAAGACAGGCTTCGGAGTGGGCTTACCTGGTGAGGCCTGACACAGTGCAAGTTGAGGTTTGGGTACCGTGTTGCTGGGTCCAATGTATACTGTTCAAAATTTTTGTTGATGTTCTCTGGGGTTGTCTGAGGTAACAGCCGGTAAAGACTTTCTCTGCAGAGAGTCAGAGCCCAGAGGTCAGGGGTTGCTCTTGCTACATCAGGCCCTTGTTCCTACACTCCCTTCTCCCCCAGCCTCCCAGGTTCCAGGGATTGCTTCTGGTGTGTTTGTCTAATCCTCTCCTGTAATCTGACACACCCCCAAGAGCTGTACAATGTAGGGGATGGGGGAGGAGAGAGGAAAGAGTGCCCAGGTATTAGGGCCATGGTCTCCTTCCCTAGGCAGGAGGCTGCAATGCGGGCCCAACATCTCAGTAGCCTCTGCTTCAGCTAAAGCCACCACCCAGCCACAACGCTCCTGTGGCCTGCCTTTGTGGCCACAGTGGCCCACACCCAAGGCCATCAGAAGCCTATCTCCTATATCAGCACCAACTCTCCCGGTCAGCTGTGGCCAGCAGCAAGGGCCTGGGAGGAAGCCAGGACTTCAACTGTAGGAGAGGCCTGGCAGTCACAGAACCCTTGCTCAGGGCAGGACACTGTGAATCGTCCTTGAAGACTTCCTTAAACAAACCTCTTGGGTCTTGTGTGGATGAGAAAAGTCAAAGAGAACCCTGATTTAGGACTAGCCTATGTCAAGATTTGTCTCTACTATCCTCAACACCAGAGAAACTCACCGACAGAGAGGAATCAGGACACAGAGTGTCCTTGAAGACCCCGAGATCACATCAGGCCACCAGTGGGATGGCAGATTAAGCTCAATGCAGAGGCTGCAGGACAGCCAGCCTGGCTCTACTCCTACCCAGAACCCTCCAGCTAGGAGCTCTGCTCTTGAGGCTCACCTTTCAGCCAGCACCTCCAGGGGAGGGGTGCCCTGGTCCCAGCTCTTCACCATCCACGCTGTGTCAAAGGCTGCCAGGAAGCCCCGGGCACAGCCTGTGCCCATGGGCCAAAATGGCTGTAAAAAAACATATGTAAAATTCTCATTGACTCTAGTGACTCCCAATCCCCTCTCCCATTCTACCTGGAACTCTCTGGTTGCCAGCTCTGAGCCAGAGCAGGGCTGGAACCCTGCTGCCCACGGCTTACCAGAATCATGGGTAGTTGTAGCACAAATATGAAGGGTGTGATAGCCCCGTGTGTAGCAAAGCTACCTGGGAGCTCTGGAAGAGAGAGAATGGAACCAGAGAACACTTTTGAAAAGTGTGGCCTTTATGCTTATTGTAAAGCATGGATGGGCTTCTGATCTCCTTCTGTTTGGGAGGATCAGGGGCAAAGGCTTTGTGGCTGGGAAATGCTGGAGCCTGCCAGAGCACGCAGCACAGGAGGAGAGTGAGGAAGGGGAGGTTGGGAGGGAGACAGGGATAGGAGCGACAGGTCACAATAAGGGTGAGCAAGGTCCGATCTGGTCAAGCCAAGGGTAAACAGCTTGCTCCGTGGTGTAGCCAAAGCAGGGTCTGCAATCTGACTCTCAGCCCTGGATGACTTTGCAAACACGGTCAATGCTCACATTAAGATCGGAAGCTGACCCTCAAATGGTTGCTTAGCTAAGGATCCTTGCACTTACGGGGTTGACAGGGAAAGGCACGACTTCAACGCTGTACTTTGAAAACCCCTTGTCCCCAAGCCTCCCTCACACTCCGGAAGATTTCTATCCTGAAAGGCCACCCAGGGCCACCCACATGGGTAACAGGTCCCAGTAACACTTAGGGGCTACATGTTGTGAGGAGGACAGTCCTGGGCTCTAGATCAGGGCTGGCCAGTGTTCTTCAATCTAGAAGCAGCCCAGAAGAAGCTGGAAATGGGAGGAAAGGCTTCTGCTACAGGCAAGCTGACATATCTCAGAATTCAGCCAAAAGGGCTGGCTCCCAGGCCAGCATGGCCTTGGCAGAGGTCTGCCCATTGTCTGAGAACCTGCCCTTCCTGGGATGTTGACAGCAGAGCCTACGAGCCTGAGTGCAGATGTGTAGATCTGAACCGTGGCAGGAATGCAGGGCTCTAAGGGCAGCGAGTACCTCAAGCAAGCTGTCGCCCACAAGGGCCACGAGCAGCTGGTGGGCCTGGCGCTCTCGCATCAGGGCTGCGTTCTCTGAGGCGTACATGGAGGTGAAGTCGAACATGGCCACATCAGGCTGCCCATTGTGATTTATGGCAAAGTCTAAGGATGGCAGCTGGTAATTGGTGGCAAAATCCGCAGCCTCACGGGCGTAGGAGAGCAGATTATCCTGGTTCACGTTCTCCGTACACAGTAGCATCTCTGTGTCAATGTAGTCCTGGGCAAGATCAAAACATACATTAAAACCTCCCTCCTCTCCAAAGGGCCAGATTCAGACCCCATTAGGCAAGAGACCATGGGATGGGTCTTTACCAGGGGGCTAGTCAAAACAGAAACAGAGGGGCTGGGGAACGAATCAGTCTGTAAAGCATCTGCTGTGCCAACATGAAGGCCTGAGTTCAATCCCCAGAACCCACATAAAAAAGGCAGGCAGAACAGTGTGTGATTATAATCTCAGTGCTGGGGAGGTGAAGATGAAAGGATCCCCAGGAGGCCTTTGCTAGCTTGCCTAGCCTAATGGGTGAGCTCCCGGCCAGTGAGAGACCTGTCTCAAAGGACAAGATGATGGCTCCAGAGAGCCCTCTGAAGCCGAGCTTTGCCCTCCACAGAGATGCACACATGTGCATGTATGTCTGTAGGAAGTGTGTGTTTATGAGTGTGTGTGTGTGTGTGCGTGTGTGTGTGTGTGCGTGTGTGTGTGTGTGTGTGTGTGTGTGTGTGCGCGTGCGTGTGTGCGTGCGCGTGCATACATGAACCAAAACTAGAAAACCAGAGCCAAGGAAATAAATGCATGGTCCAGCCACAGTGGTTAGCATGGTTGTGATTAAGCACCCAGTTTGCCTTTGGGCTTCCTGGCATCCAAGGCCAAGTGGAAACGTGATATGGGCTTTCCTTATCAGAAAATGAAGCATAGCAATTCCTCATGGGAGGCAAGTTTCTTCTGGCATGGAGTGCTGAAAGATCTCTCTCTCATAAGAATTTAGACAGAGGACACTGGGAACCGTAATGAACAGTGGACTTGATAACGGCCTCTTGGCAAACAAAGGAGCACATTGCACATGGCTGGTCCTGGCGATAACTTTCAGTACAATTAAGAGACAAAGGGAAAGCCAGTGAATGTGACTTAATAACGGATGGAGTTAAGCTACGGAGGTACAGATATGCTGTGGTTAGTGGTCAAACAATATCAGAAAAAAAAAATGGTTGTGCCATGCCACTCTCTGAATTTCTTTCCAGACTCAGTTGCCCACTTTTCTGTGATGCTGGGATGCTCATGACTTGGTTCTGAAAGTGGGCAATTGTCCTATTTCTCTGCTGGGGAGATGCCTGCACTTGGACAATGAGGAGATTCATCTCAGAGACAGAGTGCTACAGAATGAGTTTAGAAGATTTCCAAAGTCTGTTCTGCTTATCTTTGGCAAAGGCCATCTTTCCTAAAGATGATGTGAAAGGGTGAGTTTCCATTGATAGGATGCACCCTAGTGTGTATGAAAAACCCGAGTTCAGTCTCCAGCACTGATTAAAACTGGGAGCGGTGGTGCTCACCTGTAATTTCAGTATGTGGGAGATGGAGGCAAAGTGATCAGGAGTTCAAGGTCATCCTCAGCTACAAAATGAGTTCAAGGCCAGCCTGGCATACATGAGGCCCTATCGCAGCTGGAATATGGGCATGCTGTTTAGCTTTATTCTGAGCCTTTATTTTCTCATTTACAAAACCATAATTGCAAGATTCCTCCTTGGAGCCATATGAAGATGAAGTTTGGGTATACACATGAAATATCCCACGCTGTGCCTGGCACATAGGAAGTACTCAGCAGATGATACTGCCTGTCTCTACTGATTTATAATGTCATGAATGGTGCCATATGATGAGATGTCAGCTGGAACCATCCAAGATACCAGCATGGGCACATCTACAGGTCCCAAGACATACAGCCTCCCCTATATCCAGAGTGACCTTCTGTTTCTATTTCCTGGGAAGCTGTGATTTCTAATATTCTATTTTGAAAATTCTAATATTTCCTCAGAGAATGTACCCAGTATTTGCCCAAGAGAGGACTGAAGAAGCCACACCAGCACACCTGAGGGAAGAAGAGGTCATCTTATCTCCAGACTGACCACCTAGCTGTGAGCTGGAAGATGTGGAAGCCCAGTGCTCACACAGCTGGTGTGTGTACGTGGGGGTGTGTGGGGGACTAGCCTCATCTGTCCTACCCACAGCCTCTGCCCACAACCCATGCTCTCAGCAGAGGCCCCAGCCAAGGTGGAGGAGGCCTGGGTTACTCATGCCTCCAGGCCAGATGCCAGTACAAGCTGGTGAGAAGATAGACACACTGTACTCTGGCAAGCAACAATGAGAGTTCCCAGCCCGGGACAGGACCTGGAGGCAGCTGACCTGGGGCTGTGAGATCCTTGTCTTGAAGCAGTGAACACAGGAGCTCTAGAAGGGTGAGGCCTGACCACCTCATCTTCCCCACCTCCCCTTCTCATTTTCATTCATCCATATGTGTGTGTCTACGGAAGTATATGCCACATGCATGCAGTACCCATAGGGGTCAGAAGAGGGCACTGGATCTTCTGGAACTGGAGTTACAGTCAGTTGGAACCTCTGATGTGGGGTGATAGTTAGCAAACTTGGGTCCTCTGGAAGAACAGCAAGTGCTCTTAACCTTTAGGTCATCTCCAGCCCCACCCCATTCTTTCTTTATACTTGATGATGCAGGCTAGACCTGGTGTGCATGCCTGCAATCTCAGCTCTTGGGAGGCTGAGGCAGGAGGATGGAGAGTTTGAGGGCAGCCTGGGTTATACAGCAAGACATTATCTCAGAACAAGAATAAATAAATAAAACAAGAAGCAAAGCCATGGAGAGAAACCAAAGAGCCAACAGGACTGAACAAGTGTCCAATCAAGGCTGGGGGTGAAGAACCCTGAAAACCAGTTGACCAGGCACTGTGCTAAGCATGATGTGTGTGTGTGTGTGTGTGTGTGTGTGTGTGTGTGTGTGTGTGTGTGTGCATTCCTCAGGCATCCCCCACCCACACACAGTCACGTCTCAAGAACACTTTTCAGAAGATTTACAGGGGTTATTCCACTTTATAGATGTAAGACTGAGATTCAAAGAAAGAAAATCAAAATCTTGACCACCATCCTGAGTTAGCTCATGGGAGAACTGGGTCTCTGCGCATCTCTGATGGCACAAACAGTGAGTTGCGCTCTTACGACAAAGGACACAGTGTGAGACTCCCAAGGGATGGCATCTCTGTGTTCCACAAGGACAAGGAGTCCCCATCTCTGGTGGCTGTGTCTTCCTAGGGAAGGAGTAGGGCCAAATGAAGGATGCCATTTGAGGAAGGAAAAGATTCAGCTGATCATATTCTGGGCAAAGGTCTCTCCCCCCATCATGTTTGAGACATATCTGTGTGGATGGGTAGTCACACAATGCCAAAGGCAAGAAAGGTGCCCTGCAGTTTCTCTTTCCCTTCCCCCCTTGCATGGATTCTAGCAGGACAGTATCTTCTCTCACATCTGCTGATGCTGCCAGTCCATATTGCCCAGGGGAAGACAGGTGAGAAATCACCATCTATGGGTACGTACATTAATGATGACGCCTTTGTCCAGCAGGCTCTGCTTCTTGGCCGTCATGACAAAGTAGTGGGTACAGTCCTTGTAGTAAACAATGTTCTCGAGATCAATCCCTGGAAAGAGAAACATTCAGACTCAGTTTATCAGCCTGTGCCTTGCTTCATTCCAGCTCTCATTATGTATGTGCAGAAGAGGCATATAAGAGAAATAAGAAAGACATAGCAGGCTGGGGAAGGTAGAAGAGAGGACCAGAAGTCACCAAGATCAAAGCAGCTGGCTTTTCTGATTGCACAAAGACATGTTCAAAAACAAAGCAACCAAACAACAGAAATGACCACAGGTGTCCAGTATCCCTAAGTTAAAGCTAGGCAGAAAGTGTTATAGGAAGTGCTGGACAGGACCATGAATGCTCAGGCCCCATCCACTGTCTACTCCACAAAGTATATCTATCATGTCCTCGCTTGCATGAGAAAACCCAGGCCAACAGAACAACAATCTAGGTTAGAAGCCTAGATTGCATCCTGGTATGTGGGTGTGTGCATGTGCCTGTGTATAGGCCAGAAGACAACCTCAGGTATCATTTTTCAGGTACCTGCCTCCTTGAGACAGGGTCTGTCATTGACCCAAAGCTCAGCAACTAGATTAGACTGGCCAGCCAGTAAGCCTCAGGGATGCTCCTGTCTCCATGCCCTAGAGCTGGAATGAAAAACATACACTACCACGCCCAACATTTTTATGTGGGTCCTGGGAATTGAATTCAGATCCTCAATGGAGCCAACTCCCCAGCCCTAGACCTCATCTTTTGTCCTTTCCATGGACAGCAATGCATGTACACAATAGGATTCTGCACTTAAGATCATGTTATGAGATGATCACTTGGCTCTGTGTTCTCAAAGGGATGTCGGGAGGCTCAGCCTGAGCCACTGGCTTCACCCAAGAACTTCATAGAAAGTCAAATTGTCAGGGCTGCTAAATTAGAAACTGGGGGTAGGGCCAACACCTTACATCTTAAGCTCCCTGGTTGACTTTAACAATCACTAGAATATGAGACCCTCTGGCTTAGTTTATGTGAAGGGAAGCAAAAGGCACACACTGACCTCAAAACACCCACACAAGGTGTGTGGGGTAACCATAGCAACACCCTTATTATTACAGTAAAATAGGAAACAGCCATGCATGCAGAAGGCCCCCAAGAGAATCAAAGGAAATTCATTGCTGTCACTGATGTGAGACAATGACTTACGGTGTAACAATGGCCAAGTTTAAAGGAAGCTCATGAAAGCTTTGGAGAAACACACACAATGTCCTATCATAGTCCCTATTTGGTGGTTTGGGTATTTATTTTCTTTGTTTCTAAGGGGAAGGAAGGGCTGGAAAATTAAGTATTAAATCATTCAAAGGATATAATACTCTGGAAAGGAAATATTAAAACTTGTAATAATAAATTGTGGAGGCTCAGAGGGACATAAGATGGCAAATACTATTGTGACCAGCAAGAGGCAGAGCCTGGCTCAGCAATTCAGTCCATTCCTAGAGGATGAACCTTATAGAAAATGATTTCATGGAAAGTGGTACCACAATAGGAAACTCATGGGAGATGGAGTTTAAGTGAAAGTGAACATGTGTGTCTTTGTGGGTCACAGAGTCTTTGTTACAAATACAGTGGAACCAGCCATAGACAATGCATGGCCATGGCTGTATTGTGAAATCACAGCCCTTGCTAAAGGACATTGAAACCTGAATGTCCTGTCATCTCAAAGTATCATGAAACATGATCCTTTTGAGTTTTTTCTCCCTTTGACCCCTTGAACACAGAAAACCATTCCCATCTCAGAGATAATACCAAAACCACGTGGTCATCCACAGTCCTCAGGCTTGGATGCCAAGAGATGCCACAGGCCCCCAAACCTACCATCAGGACTATATTTAAAATGTCATGTTGAATGAGAAAATGAGAAATGTAGGCAATATTTACAATGTGCTAAGAAAGGGAGAAGAAAAAGTATGGATACATTGATTGGAACTGGAGCCACGTGAAATGAGTGTGCAGGTGGCTCTGACAGAAAGTGTCAATAGATCAGTGCAGGCTGGGCCATTGGAGAGTATTCATACTTTACTTCTTTTATAGACAGTGTCTCCTAGAGTTGAGGCTGGCCTCAAAACTATTATGTAGCTGGTGCTAGCCTTGAACATCTAGTTTTCCTGCCTCTACCTTCCAAATGTTGAGATTACAGGCATATGCCCCCATGCCTGGTAAGAATAGAGGCCTTAATTTAACATTATCATTGCACTGCTTTTCCAAGGAACAGTGTGCATTTTTGGTCAGGTTATAAAGAAAGCCAATTTCTCTTTGCTTCTCCTCTACCCTTATGAGCACCTGTTACTCATTTACTGGCTATCTGGCCACAAAGAATCTAAGTCTTGGGTTGCTGATCTGGTTGGCCTCATGTTGGGTGCCATTTGTAGTTGAAGTTTTCCTGGTCCTGCCTGGCCCACGGTCAGGACAAGTCTCTCTCACCTGCCAGTCCCACAGCCGCTTGGACCCAAGCAAACACACAGAGACTTATATTACTTATAAACTGTATGGCCATGGCAGGCTTCTTGCTATTTAGTTTTTATATCTTAAATTAACCCATTTCTATAAATCTATACCTTGCTATGTGGCTCATGGCTTACCGGTACTTTACATCTGCTTCTCATGATGGGGGCGGCTGGCAGCATCTCCCTGCCTTCTCAGCCTTCCATTTCCAGAATTCTCCTCTCTCCTTGTCCCACCTATACTTCCTGCCTGGCTACTGGCCAATCAGCACTTTATTTATCAATCAATTATCCACAGCATAATTGTGTGGGGTCCTTATCTTGTCTCATTGGGAAGGGCAGCTGATGTGCTGCACAAAGCACCTGGGAATCTTCAGGTTCTCCCCTCAGACTATAGGCTCTCTCCTCAGATTGCCACCAGCATCTCATGCTGACTTAGGTACAGCCTTCCCGACTACCTCTTGTTATAGCGCTTTATGTGGGTACCCTCTTTGGATAAGGAGGGGTGGGGCTAACATTGACTTTGTATTCCACAATGATGAGCACCAGTGTACAACAGACACTCAGTAAATGCCCATCAGTAAATTCTATAATCTATTTCCACACACAACATCCAGAACATTCTCTCTAGATTCCCTCTTTTCCTTGAAGGGCCTCTGAACATTCACTGTACTGAGAGAAATCTTTGCTTCGAGACTCCAGTCCCAGTGACCCCTGGAAGCCAGTGGGCCCTGTGAACAGTTTGGAAATCTTGGACAAGGGACTGGGGAGATGGCTTAGTCAGAAAAACGTATGCTGGGCAAATACTGCAGAATGGAATTTGATTCCCAGAATCCATGAGTTGGGGGAAGGCCAGCATGGTATTGTAACCCCAATGTTTCACAGAAACAGACACCTGGGGCTCATTGGCCATTCAACCTAGCCTACTTGTGAAGCATTAGGTCAGTGAGGCTTTTTCTCAGGAAAATAGAAAGTGGACAGCATCTGAAGAATGATGCTAGAGGTTGTCATCTGACCCCCACACATGTGTTCACACATGCATGCACACACACACACACACACACACACACACACACACACACACACACTCACAGCAACTGTGAATAGGGCCTGGTTTAGAGAAGTGAGGTCTTAACTGTTTCTTCTTCTTCTTCTTCTTCTTCTTCTTCTTCTTCTTCTTCTTCTTCTTCTTCTTCTTCTTCTTCTTCTTCTTTTTAAGATTTATTTATTTATTATGTATACAATATTCTGCATAAGTTCCTACATCCCAGAAAAGGGAATCAGATCTCATCATAGATGGTTGTAAGTCACCATGTGGGTTCTGGGAATTGAACTCAGGACCTCTGAAAGAGCTGCCAGTGCTCTTAACCTCTGAGCCACCTCTCCAGCCTACCTGTTTCTTCTTTAAGGTCCTGAAAGAACTTCTGGTTGAAGATGAAGGCCACGCCACTGATCTCCTCCACCTTGGCCTCGGCCGTGCTGTTCCTGTTTATGAAGTTGGCAGTGATGGCAATGGCCAGCTTCCCTCGGAACTCCTTCCTCCTGAACCCTGCGGAAGGGAAAGGATGGATGGGTCAGTTCTCTAGGTCGGGTGGGACCTCACACAACATTGCTGAGGACACTTCTCAGTGCCCCACAGACAAGGGGGACAGGGGCTCTGGAGCAGGCAGAGGGACCAGGCTTGTTCCCGCAAGGCATTTTGAAGTCAGTGTGGCTCTGTTCTTTTCTATACTTTTGGACCCTATGGGCTGCTTCCATATTCACAGGCCAGTGGCCAAAATGATCTGTGCAGCAGGCTACCGTAGAGCTCAGCCGTCTGTAGACACAGGATTGACAGATTGATAGCTCTTTCTCAATTCCGTATGTCACTGAACACTCTTAAGGCGCCTTCATGAGTCAAATGATTTTGTTAGCCTTTTAAATGGAAAAGAAAACCTTTTGAAAATTAGGATTAGACTGAACTCCCATAGGACAGGGATGCTAAAACATTGTCTTTATATCTTCGTTGTTATGGGTCGTACTGCATTGTCATTTTCCCACCACATATGTGTGGTGAAGTCCTAACCCTTGGTGTCTCTGTATGTGACATTTTTGGAGATGGGGTCATTATAGATGTGCTTAGTTAAGATAAGGTCAGCTGGAGTAGAATGGGTCCTCTGCTGTAACATGGCTGGTGTCTTTATTCACAGGGAAAGCTGGACACATACACACTTCAGGAGATGCTCCATATAGATGAAGGCAGAGCCGGGATGGTGCTTCTGAAGGCAACATCAAGGTCTAGCAAAGGAAACAAGTACACTAGTTCCCAGGGGCTGGTGCCTAGGATGCATGCTGCCTGGTTTACGTCTTGACATAAACCTAGACATATCTGGGAAGAAGGAATCTCAGTGGATGAATAGCCCCCATCAGGCTGGCCTGGGGGTACATCTGTGGTGGCATTTTCTTGATTGGTGATTGATATAAGAGGGTTCAACCTATAACAGGCTGAGCACAAACCTGAGGCTTTCAAGTGTTCTGACCCGTATTTTTCCCAATCCACCAGAGCAATCCCACAAACCACACATGTATCCACACTGGCAGATTTAAGTGCCCTGACAGATATTGCTGTGAGAAGATGGGCACAGGAGTCGGGCAGGGCAAGTAGAGACTGGGCAGAGTCGGGGGCAGACGGGAGAGGCCTGAGCTGGAGGACCACACATTCAGAATTTTCTGAGATCAGACTTATTTCAGTCCGTGCATCTTATCCTCAGAGAATGAGTTTTCCCAGCCATGCATCTTCAGCTTGGGACCCTTGACAGGGGCAAATTCAGAAAGCACAGCTCCCCCTACTCTAAGAGACGCCACTGGTACCATGCTGTTTTTCAACCCTAGTCTCAGACAACACCTTCAGTATAAATGAGTACACAAAGCCTGTCTGCTGCACTCAGAGAAGCCTGGCTTTGAATCCTGACAGTTTTCCTAGCTGCCTGGCAGTGGGTGTGCATAAGAGTTATGAAGAGGGCCCCGCTGTTGATTGGGAGAGTACTTGAACATGAGCGGATGCCATTAAAATCTTGAGATGTTTGCTTTAGATGAGGTGAGAGGAGAACACCTTGGCTAACACACAGTAGTAGCAGGTGCTCAGGGAGTTTGTGTTGACTTTTCCCAGTGTCCTCCCTTTAAGAAGCATTTTCACAGAAAAGCCCTCCCCCACTCCTTGCCTCTGTGCTCTGAGAGGTTCTGCTACCCATATTCTCATTTGGGGATGCTCAGGTCCAGCCAGAGGGAAAGTGGAATGGCCATCCTCCCACGCTCAGCCTCAGGCAGGACAGAACAGCCTGACCTCTACTCTTAGCCAAAGCATCTGCCATCTTGATTACCCTTTTCTGGCTCCCCTCGTTATCTCTCAGCTCTAGCCCCGAAGAAGAATCCTCACCTTCCAGAGTGTTCCTATGGCCGTCAGCACCAACGATGACGTCAAACTCAAAGTCAGACAGGGCGTGGTCTGCAGGGAGGAATTCTGCCCGCCAGCCGACTTCTGCCGGGGCAGAGAGACTGTTAGATGAGCTGACAGAGGCAGGCTGAGAGAGTGATGCCCCCCCTCCCTGCTGGCCATGAGAAATGGATAATGACCCAGTGGAATCTCCCTAAGAAAGGTCCAGGCATCAGGTACATCCAGCCTCTTGACACTGTGACACAATGCTGTCATCTACAAAGTTCATGGTTGAGAACTGTGTAATTGAGGCTTTTTTTTAATGTTAAAAAGCTCCCATAATATTTTAATAAGTTTACTATTTCCTCTTTGGCCATATTCATAGCTATCCTGGGAAGCACGTGGTTCCCAGGCTGCAGGCTGGACAACCCTGGCCAGTCCATATCTAGGTTCTCTCTGGTTTTGTATCAGTGCAATCCAGCACAAAGCTAAGAGGAACTGCCAGCTTCACGCCTGGTCTGACTGAACTGTGCTAGGATGCTAACCTTCAGCAATCTCAAACCAGTCTCCCTTGTCCCTGCTGTATCACACCAGATTCACCCGGATTTGGCCCATATTCAATGGCTTCTCATTGTCAAGCAGGTCCCAGGGGCTGTGGGAGATGCCGGGAAGCCACTTTGCATTTCTGCTTCTTGCTCCAAGGGTTTGCTGCTTGTCGAGGCACACTCTCAGAGCAAGCCTGGCTGGGTCCTCAGAATCAGGACCGACTATGCAGCAGAGACGTTTCAACAGGAGCACACAGTCTCTGAGTGTCCCACATGATAGTGTCTTGTTAGAAAAGCAAGGAAATCCTCCCCAAGTTGTCAAATATACTGGGCTGAGGCCAGGAGAAATCAGGGGTGTACCTTCCATGGGAAACAGCAAAGCCTCCAATACACACTGCCTCAAAACTCAGCATTTCCAAGGCAAGAGGCAATTATGACAATAAGATATGAAACCTTGATGGACAAATTCCATGTCTATGGTGTGTAAAAGAGATCAGAATTTGATTTCCTTTTTTTCTAGTTTTTTTTTTTTAAGGTAGGTTCTCAGTATGTAGCCCAGGTTGGCCTTGAACCCACAACCATCTTGCCTCAGTGCTGGGATTATAGGTATGTACCACCATGTTCAGCTAAAATATCAGAATTTAAGTATACATAATAAGAAAGAAGAGTATTATCAGGAACCTGCCTAGATGGAGACATTTTATGGTCTATAAATTAAAACTCAATAAAATTAAAAATACTGCTAGGTATGATGGCATACCTGCAATACCTGTAATCCTAGCATTCAGAAAGAAGTTCAAGGGTCCTCTTTGTCAACATAGCGAGTTTGAGGCCAGTATGGACTACTTAAGACTCTCTCAGGAATAATATATATGCTGCGGTGGTTTGAATGAAACCCCCACAGGCCCTTAGGGAGTGGCACTATTGGGAGGTGTGGCCTTGCTGAAGGAAGTGTGTCACTGGAGTGGGCTTTGAGGTTGTGGAAACTCAAGCCAGTCCCAGTGACTTTCTCTACCCGCTCTCTGCTGATGGAGATGTAGAGCTCTCAGCTACCTCTCCAGCACCATGTCTGCCTGCATGCTGCCTTGCTTCCCGCCATGACGATAATGGACTAAACCTCTAACTGCAAGCAAGCCCCAGTGGAATGCTTTCCTTTATAAGAGTTGCTGTGGCCAGGGTGTCTCTTCACAGCAACAAAACCCTAAGACATATGTATTCCAAGAAATAGCTACAGCCTTTGTTTTACAACTGTTCTACAAGTCTTGGTTTCTTTACTGTATTTTAAAATATTTTGCGGGTACAGCAGGCACATCCACCCATCTGTGTGTGGACTGACACACACATGCTGAAGCTTGTGTGAACTTTATTACACTACCAGATCTGTCTTCTTTCCTGCCACTGGCTGGATGTCGTGTGTCAAAGCTGCATCTTCCTAGGGGCCGAGTAACCAAATTATAGGCTTCATGGCGCAAATAGTATTTCCACCGTCACCCCCGCCCTTGTCGGGAGCTGAAGAATAAGCCCAAAGCCACAGAAATGGTCAAAAAAGGTAAAGTATTTGCCAGTGGAAGTATGCCAAACAGCTCCCAGCAAAAATAACTTGCAGAGATAGCCTCTGAAAGCTACCAGCGCTGCTGCCCGCTTGGAATATCTGCCTTCAAGGCAGGGCAGGAGAATTATACTGTACTTTGATTTTCTTGGTCTTCAGGAGGCTCTAGAACCCTCACGAATTCCACATTCACATGGATTTCCACTCCCAGCATCAGGGCCACCTTGAATAGGATGAGCTGTAGTTGACGGATACCTGTCAGGAAGGAAGGGAAGGGAGAGAGATGCCTGTCAGGAGCAATGCTTGAGCACCACCTGTATGTGAGTACCCCGCAGGTGTGGCTCATTGGGCTCAGAACATAGCACCACATCAGCTGAGTTTGAACCAAGCACTCAGGCCTTTTCATTCATCCCACACAGCGGCCTTTGGGGACCCTTCTTATTTTCATTTAATAGAGGAGATTTGGAGACTTGATAAAGTCAAGTGACTGCTTAGGGCCACACAGAAGCAAAAAGCAGAGCGGAGCCAGTTCAGTCTGACCCGACATCTTGGCTCTAGCTGTACCAGGCTGTTCTAACTAGGAAGAGCTGTCTGTCCTTCCTTCATCTTTGCTGAGCTGGGCCCTGATCTGATGAGATAAAGATGGAGAGAGGAGGAGACAGTGAGAGTCAAGGGCCATAAGGGAAGTCAGAGATCAAACGGCTCATCGGATGCAGCCTGTGCTCAAAGCGCCTCCATCTCCAACGGGAAGGGGCAAGGCAGGGAATTCTCCCCACCAACTGCGCTCAATGCTCTCCACTTTTTACCACGTCAAATGCCTTCAGTGAGCGCAACCTTGTTTGTCCCGCTTGGCACAAACGGGCATGCCTCCAACTATTTTTCTGCACAGTGAGAAGTTGTGGACTTGCTGTGGGCGTCTCTGTACTGAGTGGGCGAAGCTCATTTAATATTCACTGAGCACCCACAATGTGCCAGGTGCCGTCTTAGTCACAGGAAGATGGGCACATGCTGTCTAATGGAGGAAGCAGATGGACAGAATGCCAGGGCCTGGGCCGGGGCTGCAAGAGAGGAGCAATCGGGAGCATCAGATTCTCTGGACAGACTGAGGACAATGAGGGCCACATGAGGCCAGGGCACCCCGGAGCCAGGAAGCTGCTGGGTTAAAATCTCTTTAGTGTGGCAACAGAAAGGAAGTAGACAATCATGGGAGGAGTATGAATGGACAGACAGACAAACTTCCTCTTCTAGAACAAACCCTTTGAGCTAAGGAACAATACTGGGGTCCCCACAGAAGGCGGGGTCCAGGGTGAGGAGCAGGTTGACTGGTGATGGGGAAGGGGGAAGAAGGAGGAGAGAAATCCAAGAGGGATCAGAGTTGGAAGGTGGGCTAGCTCTGTTTCTGTCCTGGGGGCACTAAGAAAGGAAGATAAGTGTGTAAAGGGCAGGCCTCTCTTCATCAGGCATAGGACACAGACCACTGCTAAGATCCCAGGGCTGGAAGAACAGGGGTGGGGAGTGGAGCGTTCCAACACAGTACGTAAAGAGAAGTGCTGAGCAACGCTGAACCCGAGGGCGCAGCTGCGGCTGGAGACCGCCCACAGTCTGAGCAGAAGCCAGACAGCCTGGTTTAGAGAACCCAGGCCACAACTGCTAAGGAGACAGTCCTTCCAGGGGAGGCGTGGCCTCACCTCACTCACAGTGTCGAGGTCCCTGGCTTCCAGTACACAGTAGGTGCTCTATAAGTCCCCACCTCCATTCTAACAGGACTTCCCTTGACGATGCCACATCCTCTTAGCACTGTGCTCAAAGCCGTCACTCCACATTCTAACCAACAGAACTTCTCTGGGTGGGTCAGAGCATCCCGCCAGCTCATGCTGTGGCTTTCTGGGCAAATACAAATTTCTTTCCATTGGTCTCTTGGAATTTTCTCATCCCAAAGTGGGAATAAACTCTGGGGCTGCTGCTGGTAAATTCTTCTGTGTCTGAATAAATTACACCCTTAGCAGCTGATAATTCTCTCCAGTCCCACCCACACCCTACTCACTTTTCCCATCAATTCTGGTCTCATATGGACATGGCTCTTTGGGCTCCCTTCTCACCCATCCCCATGGAAACGTACAAGGTTCTTAGGTTTGAGGACCACACATGGCACCCTGCTTACTATATGCCACAAAGCACTTTAGTACTTACTACACAGCAGACATAGTGCTACCATGTTACAAACCTGACCCCAGGTACCCTTAGCAATTCAAGGAGACAACATTAATTCTGTTTTATAGGAGATAAAATCGAGGTCTGAGGAAGGTAAGGAATTTTAACCAAGTAAGGAAGAAATAAAAGAGACATGCTTTGTGTTTAATTCCCTTGATTCCATGTGACCTGCCTGACTTCCATAAGTTCCACTGTAATCGAGATGATGGCTAGAGACCTCTTCCCTGCGAAGCTCAGAGGAGGAGGGAGGCTACCTCTCCAAAGCTGGTAAGCACAGATCTTGCCTCAACATGCCAGGAGTGACCAATGGCAGAACAGGAGCCATGCTCCGCAGGGGCATTCAGAGACTGCCCAGGACCAGGTCTACATCCTCAACTTCCCTTCCCAGCCTCCACCAAGTCACACCATGCAGCCTTCTCCCGTCAAAGCTCTAAGGAGCACTGGTAAGCAGTCCATCAGAGATTACACATCCAGTTACGTCACTCCTCTCATCTGCCACCTGCCCTGCTCCTCAGGACTAGCAGCACAATGTCCAAATGCCTCTGCACAAGGAGGTCTCACCCATCTGGCCCTGGTAGAGCTTTTGTGAGTTCTCTCTTTAAATTCCTCCTGGGACTGTGACTCACTCTATTAGAGCACATTTTATTACTGACAAAAATCTTAGTGTGCTCCCGGAGTGTACAGACTCCGCTGCTTACCTCAGGGCTTTGTATTTCATTCATCCACTCAACAGATGTTTATTGTTCATCTATTATGTGTCAAGCACTTAGGCCCTGGAGACAGGTCTTTTGGCAAGCAGTATGTGCCAGAGTCTGTGACCAATGGAACATAGCACAGAGCCCAGAATAACCCACAAAGTAGCCTTCATGGTCTGAATGTGAAATGTCCTCACAGTCTCATGTGTTTGACATTTGATCCCCGTCCAGTGGTACTGTTCTAGGAGACTGTAGGACCTGTAGGAGATGTGGCCTAGCTGGAAGAAGTGGGTCACTGGGGAGGAGGGAGCCTGACGTTTATAGCCTGGCCATTCTGCTGGGCTGCTCATCATTTCCAGATCTGCCCAGGTATGAGCGATCAGCCACGCAGCTGCTTGCCTTTTTGACTTCCCTGACACAACAGGCTGTGTCCCTTCAAACCATGGGCCCGAACAAACCTCTCCTCAAGCTGATTCCTGCGAAGCATTTGACCACAGGCAGAGCAAAGTAACTAACGCATAGTCCTTCAGGTAACATCTGTTAGTTGGATGTATGGATCCTCAAGGACCAGCTGGGGCTTCTAGATATGACAAGATGGGTCCACCCACAGTGAGACCTGGACCTTCATGAAGTACCCCACCCCAAGCCCCACTCACTGATGTGGTCGATGGAACCAGCACAGAATTTCCCATAGAACTTCTTGGCTCCTAGGCCCCGCAGGTCGTGGATGGTAAAGGGCCAGAGGTGCAGCACATTGTTCCGGGAGAAGGTGTCCCTCTTCTCCACTACAACCACTTTGGCTCCCAGGTAGGCAAGTTCAATGGCAGTGCGCAAGCCACACGGTCCTCCTCCAATGATGAGACACTGTGGAGGGAAAGGAGACACTTAGCAACCTTGAGTGTCCAGGCAGTGCCATCACTGAGGTACCACCTCACCAGGCATGTCATCCTGGGCATCTGCTAGGGTCTGTCACTCACCTACCCAGTGAATGTTCCCTGTGGGTCCATCACAGACTAGACACTGTTCAAGTCCTGGGAGGACACACAAGGGGATTTTTGGAGAAGGTACCATAAGATACGTAGGAGGTTCTGAGTAAGGCAGGACCAGATCTGATCCCAGCCCTGGTACACCACCTCTTAGTTTCCTCTCCTGTGAACTGGATCTATGAAGTGCTGCTTTTCTTCAGAGGGCTGTTGTCAATGGCATCACCTTTGGGAAGTATACTGGGCTGGGGAAGTGGTTCAGCTGTAGGGCGCTAGCCTAGCATGTGCCCTGAGGTACGTGTTCCCAGCAGCACTAAATAAATACACAGTAAAAGAAGGAAGTACTTCCGAGTCATGAAAGTGTGTGGAACATCATTCTTGTGACCGAAGGCTAGCCAATAGTTCCTTAGGACAAAGAACCAAACAACAAGAGAAAATATTGACCATCTGGATTTCAGCAAGATTAAAAACTTTGGTGCTCGGGCTGGAGAGATGGATCAGTGGCTAAGAGCATTCTCTGTTCTTCTAGAAGCCAGAGTTCCATTCCCAGCACCCATGTCGGGTGGCTCACAACCACCTGTAACTCCAGCTCAGAGGATCTGACACTCTCTTCTGGCCTCATGCACCGACACACAGATGTACACCCCCCTACCCACAAATGAAAATAAATCTTAAAATAAAACTGATGTTTCATTTTTGCCCAGGAAGTGGAAAGAAGACAGTTATGGCGGCATACGCCTGGGAGTCCAGGCCAGCCTGTCTCACCCCACCCCCTTCCCCAGCCTGGCAAAGGAAAGGAAACAAGGGAAGACCGCCCCACTGATGGGAGAAAATATTTGCAAACCACATAACTGATAAGTCCTGATAATGTACTTGTATTAATATGCATAAAAATCTGACAGCTTAAAATGAAAAATAAATTAAAATACCCGAGTAAACCCCAGAGAAAGAACTTAGCATTTTTTCCCCAGTAAAGATATACAAAGAGTCAGTAAGTAGATAAAAAGACCCTAACACTATCAGTCATCAGAGAAATGCAAAAGTAAGCCAGGGTGAGTGGTCACTCTCGCGTCTCTAGCAAGGGTTCTAATTTGATGGAGGGCATGAATCAGGAGCTGGAAATATTCAAAGCTCACATCTTGCTAGTGCAAATGATTTCAAACAGTCTGGTATAGCAATTCCTCTATCAGTTAAACCCAGGGGTACCGTATCAGCCAGCCATCCCACTCCTAGGTACATAGACTCAAGAGAATCAAAAACCTCTCCATGAACATCAAGAGAAGGAGTATACATATCAGCCCCAAATTGCAAACAACTCGTGAGCTTATGAATTGATGGATAAACAAGATACAGGTGTAATATCAGGGTGCCTATATGTATTTGCATGTGTGGGTTCAGGTACACGTGTGTGGGGGCCCAAGGTTGACATCAGGAGTCTTCCTCAATTGTTCCCCCACCTTATTCAAGTGACCCCCTAGGGTTTGCTGATACAGAATAGTCTAGTCAGCCATCTTGCTTTTGCTCTGGGGATCCCTGATATCTGCCTTCTGAACACTGGAATTACAGATGGGCTGCCATACCCAGCTGGTGTTGATTTGGGTTTGGGGATCTGAACTGCAGAACAGGCAATCTGTATAGACAGAAAGATTGGTGTGATAAGGTTTAAAGGGAAGGGGAAATTGGGACGTGAATGCTACTGGGTATGTGGCTTCCTTTTAGAATGTTCTGGAATTAGGCAGCGGTGATAGTTATATCCTTTAGTAGGATGAATCTTATAGTATGTTGGTTATATTACATACAATTAACAGTGAGACCCTATCTAAAATCAAAATGGACTGGCAATGACTCAGACGTTAAGAGCATTGGCTGTTCTTCCAGAGGACCCAAGTTCAATTTCCAGCACCCACACGATGGTTCACAACCACCTGTACTAGTTCCAGGACACCCGATACCTTCTTATAGTCCCTATGGGCACTGCATGCACGTGGTACACACACATACACACAGAGAGACTCAAACATACCCACAAAATAAGTATTAAAAAAATATAAACTTCAGGCCCAGTGGTATAGTCCCAGGACCCAGACAGGAGAATTGCAGATTCTAGGTAACGTGAGACAAACAAAAATTGTATGGGGGGGGGGAGAGGGCTGGGGAGTGGGAGGAGGGAGGATGGGGGAATCCGTGGCTGAATATATGAAATTAAGCTAATTATAATATATGCAAATAAATAAATAAATAAATGACAAAGGAAAAAAGTTGTATAAGAAAAAGGTAATTAGAAAAAGGCACGACACACACTGGTATGTGCTGTGGGACGGTCTGTATGTTAAATTGCTCTGATTGGTCAATAAATAAAACACTGATTGGCCAGTGGCCAGGCAGGAAGGAGGTGGGACAAGGAGAGAGGAGAATTGTGGGAAGCAGAAGGCTGAGGCGGAGAGACACTGCAGCCGCCGCCATGACCAGCAGCATGTGAAGACACCGGTAAGCCACCAGCCATGTGGCAAGGTATAGATTTATAGAAATGAATTAATTTAAGATATAAGAACAGTTAGCAAGAAGCCTGCCACGGCCATACAGTTTGTAAGCAATATAAGTCTCTGTGTTTACTTGGTTGGGTCTGAGCGGCTGTGGGACTGGCGGGTGACAAAGATTTGTCCTGACTGTGGGCAAAGCAGGAAAACTCTAGCTACAGGTATGAATGTTGGATTCTCTTTTTTTTTTAAGTTTTAAATTTATACAGATGGGTGTTTTGCCTGTGGATATGTTTGTGTCAGTTGTAGGCCTGGTGCCTATGGAGGCCAGGAGAGGGCACCAGAGCCCTTGAAACTGGAGTTACAGGTCATTTCAAGGCACCATATGGATGCTGGGAATTGAACCTGGACCCTCCCAAAGAGCAGCCAGTGCTCCTAACCACTGAGCCATCTCTCCAGCCCTGAATGTTGGAGTCTTATTACTGAAAACTAGCACCTGTTTCTAGAGACTCCCAGGCCATGGGGTAAATCTGGACTTTCAAATAAAGAACTACAATGTCTTGTGGTTCATCTATTTCATGCTCAGAAAGAGAAAAGCTAAGTCTGCCTGGTAGAATGCCAGGGACTTCAGAGGAGGGACTTCCCGTGTCATCCTCATCGTCACGGCAGCCCACGTCTGTGGAGCACTCACTCACAGTCGTGTGTTTGACTTCTTAAATTCAGGAACTGTTATTGCTCATAGAAGAGAACTGTCATTCTGACCGTTTCCCAAATGGGAAAAGCAGGGCACAGAACCGCAAGGTCACTAACTGGTCCACAGTGTCAGACTGAAAGGGGAGAGCCAGGATCGAAACCCAGATGGTCTTGCTCCCAAGTCTACCATGCACTCCTGCTTCTGATTTGATGGAAATAACATGAAAACCAAACATCTCAGCCGCTGGAGCCCATTTGGAGAAAAAGGGGTGAAAGGTGAGAAAAGAGGAGGGTAGTCTGAACCCAGATGCTGAAGGTCTTAAACGCATTGGTTTTCTTGGCACCGGGCCATGGGTGAAGAAGAGACAAGGCCCACATACCAAGTCATGCATGTTGAAGAAGACCATGTCCTTCTCCAGAGAGGACACAGTCTGTTAGGACAGAAGAGGGGGGCACATGGTGATGTAGATAGTCACACTGACATCTAATTTTCTTCAGTGCTTGTAAGACCTGAAGGTATGGCGGTAGCCCAGCAGCGGCAGGAGTTCACAGGCAAGTGTGTGTGAGGGGTGGGTGGGGTGGACATGGGGGTGTGGGGTATGTGTGAATAGCTGAAGCTGTTCAGCAAGTCAATAAGCGAGGCCTTCCCCCACTTCTCTCTCACTGACGGACGCTGCAGAGACATCTGGAAGCTTCCCTCTACTTGGGATTAAATGTTATCTCAGAAACACATTCCCCTTCCTGAGCAAATACTCAGTCCTCTCATGACACTCCCTAGGCCGCCAGGGTCCCGGAGGGAAAGGGCGATCAAGTGTATCAGAGGCTCCCACACTGCAATCAGTGTAGTTTACTGGCTGGAACCTTCCAGAGAGTTTGTAGATACCCAGTTAGAGGAAATGAAGTCACTGCTGAGATTTGACTCACCCCCAGAGACTTTGGGGAGTGAGGGGGGGCGGGAGGGGGGCTGGCTTCCTCTCTGGACAGAGGTGCCTGGAGAAAACCAGCTTCCTCAGCCCAGATCTGCACGTTATCTCACCCTCCACGTAGCTTCTTGCTCCACATAGCCAGACAATGACGGTCATTTCAGAACCTGCTCCAAACCCCAGGCTTGTGGGGTTTGCTTTGGGCGAAGTCTGGACCCATTACATGTCTTTGCAGTTACCACATTTTTCCCGTTGGTAAGTTCTGTCACTCCACGGCCAGAGCTGGGCCAGCTGGAGGATGGAGGGTGAGGAGGACAGAGGCCTTCTGCAGTTTCTGTTCACCATGCCTAACCCATCTCTGGTACCCAGACAAGGCAGGGAACCCCTTCTCCAGCCAGGGGTTTGTACCTCGAGTGTGCAAACGTTAGCCAGGACTCACGGCCAGTCTTCTTGGCAGCACCTGGGCAGTTCCTGTCGGCGAATGTTTGTTTGGCCTTCCTATCATCCTAGGCTTTGTTGCATATTTTGGGCCTGGAATCTCAGAGATGCCAGTCATACCATGATTTTAATCAAAGCGAATGCCAGTGGGCTTAGTTATATCAAGGGAGAAAAATCTCAGCGGGCACAAGGGCCTGTTGGCTGGGGCAGTGGGGGCAGGACGGTTCCCCTCGGAATGTGCTAGTTAAGATTCGAATGGAGACTTGGTACCCTGACAAGGGGCCAACCACCATGCAGCCACGTGTCTGGGCAGGGGAGCAGGACTGGCTTCCTGGATGCCCACGGTGGAC